TATATATATATATATATATATATATATATGTACATATGCCCTTGATGCATATTTTTCTAACATAATGCAGTTTTATTTTAAAATTCTATGTCCTGTTAGTATCTGAGACTTTATTTCAGATTCAATAAAAAGATAAATTTGCAGATTGAAATGTAGAGTATTATAGGCTATTCTTCAAGTACAGTTTTTAGTAAAAACACGTGTTTGAGTTATTTCCTGTCTGTGTGCGTGTATGTGTCCTTTTGTTCACGTGTTTTCTGTTTAAGTAGGTCGACAAATGTAAATGTCTAGGTGACAAAATCATTTCTGTCTCAACCCTGGCATATTGTTGATCTTTATCAGATTCTCTAGTTTATTTGAATAAGCCGTAGAGCAGCACCTTAAATAAGGTTCTCATCTGTCGTAACTGGAAGTCCGTGTTTTCAGGACTTTGATTTTTTTTAATTCATTTTCTTAAGTGCACATCCGTTGAAGCTTAGACGCTGTTAAGTCTGATACCTGTAGTGTTCCCGTCAAAGGCATCAACCATTTCTTAGTACTTCAGCTAATAGAAAAACCACTTTTTTGTTAAAAAGTTATTTTCAAAAAGTCTTTTGAGCCAGAAAATTTACAACCTGGAGAGTGAACTGGGTAGTTCAGCCCAGATGTCAGGTGTCTCAGCGGCCTTTCCTCTTCCCCAGTAACTTCAGAGGGCTGTCACTGGCTGATCAATTTTAGATGCAACGGTGCCTTTCAAGCCCGGGTCCTCTTTGAAAGTCAGGAGTAAATGATTGCCTGTTAAATTCTTGGGAAATTACCTCGAATCAGAAATGTTGCCATTTGAAGTTTCTGGCCATCCTGGCTGCAAAATCGTTTTCTCGGAATGGGGGAGTCTGAACACTTCAAGCCACTCAAATCCCGGGCTGTGGTTGAAAGCGCCGTGCACGTGGCCAGCCCTGTTCCTGAAGCTGGGCCCGGGCATCGTCATAACATTTTTCTGTGTTAAAGGAAGTTACCTAAACGGAGGAAGACCTAAATTCTAACTGATGAGCTAGCGGGTCTTAAATCATCTTTCTGAATGTCTCATTTTAAAACCAAGTGTTCATAAGTACAATTTGGTTCAAATAGCGCAAAAAAGGGAAAACTCAATCCTTGGCTTTTTCGCAAATAGTTTTATAAGTTTGAGAATAAGAAGGTAGGGATAGGAATCTCGGAAAGATTCTGCTGTGGCTCATCAATGGATCACGCTGCACCCAGTCTCAGAGATACTATCAGACCTCCACTGTGTGGATATTTTTAGAACTCGGCTAGTCACGGGACAGCTTTACCATTCAGTGCAGCATCTAGTTTGTTTTTGGAAGAGTGGTCTCGAAGACACTAACAAATGAGAGCTGCCACGAATACTACTTGAGTTCAAACCATGAAACTTGACTTAAACTCTAAAGTGGTTCTAGACCCCTCTGTCTTCAGATGCTAAGCAGTATTTCCGAAATACCGGCCAAGAAGGCCTCGGGCAGAGGAGCGGGTCCGGTTGGAGACAAAGGTGCGGGGGGCAGAGTGCATCCACCCCGCACGTAAAGAAGAGTCCCAAGTCCCCAAGGTTGTGAGGACTCTGTGGCCCGTGTCTAATCCCATATTCTCGCAGTGAGAGCAAGACAGCGAGGGCTCAGGTAGCCTCTGGAAAGAAACAGAGGGTTAGGATGGGCCAAGAGCAAAGCTGGGGAGATGCAGTTGGCTCTTCACGGAGCGCTCTGCCTGGGTCCCCTTCTCCTCAGGACGCTCCCTGCATTTCGCCAGCAGCAGCCCGGCGCCATGAAGGTCAGGGAGTGCCTGGTCCTTAACAACGGCGCTTTTTCAGTGGGAATGCTGCCAAAAGGGACCCGACCGGGGAGGTAGGATAGAAGGGAATCGCTCAGCTAAAGAACTTCCGGAACAGCTCAAGTTGATTCCCCGGGGGGTCTTGCTTTCCAATCCTTCCGTGGGTGCAGACGTCCCAGCCTACATAGGTGACCCACAGGCAGTGACATGTACAGGGAGGTGCTGTGAGGCTTACTGCCCCGTGAGGCTCCATTCTCCCACCGCTAAGATGGGAGCCGGGACAAACCCCCCCAAAGCATCTGTTGTGAATGGTCGATGCCACACAAATAGAGCGTGGGGCACACTTGGGCCACGGAGTAACTGGGGGCTGTTATTTATTATACCTTTGGGCAGACTTGCAAGAAGAGGTTATGTGATGCCAAAGAAGGGTAATTTAAAACAGCTCAGGTCGGCCTCACGTCCAGAATTCAAGGAGAAAACCTCTGCGGAGAACCACAGACATTTGCATCTTTGCATAAAAAGTGTATTTTAATTTTTAAATAAACTGGGATTGGGATCACATGGAGGTTTTGTGTCTATTTAGTCAATACAGGAGGTAAAATTCACCAGATGATCTCTAATCTCCACCGTGGGCCACGAATCCCTCCCCGCGGCTGCCCTCCGCGGCCTCCGCTGGCCCTGGTCACAGCACCCACCCCAGTGTCCTGAACCTCACAGTGGGCTTGTCTGTTTCCCACATTGGACCATAAGCCTCTTGAGGGCAGGGACTGTGTCTTTGCTCAGCACGTAGCCCCAGAGGATCCAGCCGCTGACAAGGGACAGTGTACAATATCTGTTGAAAAAATAGATACGTGAGCAAAAAACAAATAAAATTGTCCCTTTCCCTTTCTATGAATAAATCCAGCTTCAAGAGCTCCCCACCTTAGAGCTAGGAAGGCACAGAGGCAAATTTGGTCTTAAATGCAGCACGTCCATTTCACTTCATGTCTTTTGCTTCTTGGCAAGTTGTCCCAGAGCCAGAAAAATGAGGGTTTTTTTTTTCTTTTTTTTCTTTTTCTTTTGCCCCTAAATTATTTCTGAAAGTTACAGCATTTTAGACTTGTATTGTTTCATTAGCTGTCGCTTTTGTTCATGACCCCTTTCGTTTCTCTCTCTTTCTCTGGACCTCTTCCTGCTGGAGCTTGACCGTTCCTCTCATATGGAAAGTTGTCTGTTCATCAGCACGCCATAAATAATCCAACCTGCGTGCATTCCACTATCTTCCCTGGCTCCACGCTCCTTCCCACCCCCCAGCTGCCCTGCTCCAGTTTTCTGTGGCCCCAGTGACATGATCGTTGGCAGTAAATGCTCAGCTTCATTTATTTACTGGAATTCTCAGATCTGGACCAGTTTGCTCCATTCAAGCTGCTGACGTGTTCTGTTAGGTACACATTTTGTAGAATCTCCCCTGTGCTGAGCTCTGAGAGAAAGGGCCCTGGTAAGGATGAACTGGGATTTAACAGATTTTTAGCTTCAACGTTATATGGACTTGCCTAACATCAGGCAGTCGGTAGCTTATCTGGACTTGGGGTGCAATCCAATACATATTTGAACCATATTCACCTCTCCAGGAATGCTCCTTTTGGAGGTGAAATGTTTATTGTATCTCATATTTGGTCATGGTCATGGTTATCCCCATAATAAAACTATAACCGTGGTTTTGCAAGCATATTTTAAACTTGTGTTTAGGCTGTTAGCTAAGTAGTACATCACATCTTCCATGCTCTGAAGTGTGAGAATGTTTCAGTGTGTTGCCTTAACCCTAGGAGAAAATCCGGGGTCTACTGAAGGAGACCAAATGTGACACTTGTTCTGATTTTGATGTAAAGCTAAACAGGTTTGGGATTTTTTTTTTTTTTTTTTTTTCAGTGAAACTTGCTCACATGTTCAAAATTGCCCACCACACCTTGGTCAGCTTAGCCATAAAGAATTCACCTGTAATAGGATGGCAGTACTTGCCTCTTTCAGTACATTCCACAAACAGAATTGCAGGCAATTAGCATCACAATAGATCATGTTTTGATAAATCAGCCACTAAGTGCTACTCAAAAAAATGAAAGATTTTACCTTCTGTCATTAAGTAGGAATTTAATCTCCAGTCAGGTGTTGCAAAGAGACCGCCCACCAGGTGTTCTAAGGGCATTTGCAGAAACAGCAATGAACTTGATCTGATTATTGCCTGAGTTGTCGTGCAGACCTTACCACAAAACTTTGGCCATGAAGGAGATCCAGGGGCTCAGACATACGAGCTGCAGGACCCTCCCTAAGCTCTGGCTATTTCCGGAAGTCACTGCTAACTGTGTGCTCTTATGAAACTAATACACTGCCTTTTCCCAGTCTCATCCAAATTAAAGCACAAATTTTTCCTAAGACATTCATTGAACCAAGCCTTTTTGACAATGGTTACAACTAAGGAAAGTTGAAATATCCAAGAAGACTTAAGTCCTTTGAATGGTGTTTATTCTTTCTTGAAGTAAAGGGTGGGGAGGGCGAGCACGAAGGCAGCAGTGCCATGTCAAGACATGGCATGAGGGGCTTCCCTGGTGGCGCAGTGGTTGAGAGTCCGCCTG